CTCTGTTGCTCCACTGAAGTGGTTTTTACTTCAACAGACACATGGGCGTATTCATTTCATGCATGTGCTTTTTCCCTGCTTCAGTGGAAGCCAGGTCATGTTCATCCTGATACATCTAATGCCTTGACACTGCACGTCTATTGGTGCCTTTTTGGATATTCTGAAGTTGTGTGTTTGGCAGCACTACTTTTGCACACCCGAAATTCCGTCATTTTACGTTTTTTTTTTTTTTTTTTTGCCACCTAAGTGGAACTAGCAGCGCTTTAATTTTGCAGTGATACTCTCTTTTTAATTGTGTCCTTGAAACCCATGTTCCCTGTCAGTTCCGTGCAATTTCATTGGGCTGACCAAAGGTCAGCTTTCCTGAAATATTAATTTAAAAAAAGTAAGCGACTATTTTTTATATTCAGTTTATTTTACCTATTAGTTTAATTACCTAAATTTGAAATTGGAGACGAAGCGAACACAAGCACGCTAACCGCCTAGCGATGCAACAGCACTGGTCAAAGTAGCTGGAAAAGTTGCCTGATTGAAGACCGGTTATGAACTTTATTTGATCAAAGTAAGTGCTGCCAATCCCCAGTTCGACAACAGAACTTCTGTTTATCGATGCTAATTGGCTCTTTGATTCTCTGTGATAATACATGCACATTGATCTCTAACTCTCAAGTAATTTGTTAGTACTTTAGATTCACTGGTATTTGCGAAGAGAATCAAATTTCTTCCAGTCTACTTACCAGATGGTTTTTCTGAGCTACAAATAGTTTTTTTCGTAACGAGTAAAACTCTCGCTTTCTGTGTTTACAGCTAAGGGATGAAACGCAGGGCCGTACCACGGTCTGTCCATCACTATATGCAGTACCTCGGTCCATTACCTCGATATTCTTACTTCGATACTTTGTTCAACTGTTTTTCATACATCGCGTTTTTCTTTGTCACTGATGCAGCTGACAACCTCGATTCTTTTTTACTTGTTCCTCTCTCATCCACATAATTCCATTAGCTGCTCAAGCAAATCCTTTTGCCATCCACTGACGGCCTTCTTGTGTTCTTTTAAAATTGTGTTGGACACCATTCAAGAATCCCCCTTATCCATCTATTTGCTTTGATTCTAACCATTACAGAAGACAAAATAGGATTTTCATCGTAAATTTCGGACTTTTTTGTTGCATATTTTTACTTGTTCAGTAAAATAAACTCACTTTGCTTTCATCTGGCCCTCATGAGGTTGGGAAGAGGTAAATTATTGAAAGTTTATTTTCTTCAACTATATGCTTTGCCATATCCAGTTCTCTTCCGTTTTCATTTAATTTCATTTAATGGTGATGTACCCGCTGAACATCACAAACCGCTTTTCGGCCACCTTGCGAAGACAGCAGTACATCGATGTCAGCGGTGTAAAAACAACCTCCTCCTTCTCCTTCCCGCTCTCTTCTCCAGGAAGTCGATGGAGTTGTTCCGGCAACAGCACCGGTTGAGCCATTTTCATTTCTTTCTCTCCCATTTTGTTTCTCGAGCTTACCGCATCATCCAGGCGGACAGAACCTGATTCATTTGAAATGACTCTGCATTGGTATCACTTATGACATCTTTTTGATTTTCACTTATTACTTTCTAAATAATTTGAACTCCAAGGTGCACCGCGATCTTTAACTTACCTCAACAACCTGAGTCATCAACTTCTGGAACATATAACTCCACTTACGCGCTGGGATCGTTTGATCTTCTTAAACTCTGGACTCATGTTATCATCTCAGGCCCTGAACCACGTATATCGCCCGGCTTCAGAACACATGTCCTGAACTCGCTTCTACGTCGTCCCCTTCATGAACGCATAGTCCCCTTCCCACACCTCTTCTCGCCCCTCTTTTCTGAACTCGTGTCACCGCGTTCAAGCCTCGAACGAGCTATCGATACACTTTGCGTCGCATTCATATCGCCCTTCCACCATATCTGGAACAAAATCTGCCACGTTTTAGACGCCTCAATCACTTGCCTCTCTCCTCTGCTGCTCGCTATTTTAAATATTCCACCATTTTTTATGCGTTTTTTGCAGTTATGCAATGCAAAAAACGCATATTGACGAGAGGTTGTCTGTG